AAAATACATGGGATTCGGAATGCGCTCTAATTCGCTGCCTACTATTGATCACACACTCATTGCTCATGACTCTCTTGATAGTTGTAATCGTGGTGGATGCCGGTGCCCCGCTCTGCAATCCGTCCAAGAGTTCAAATATTTGGGTATAAATATTGACCAACATATTAATATTAAAAATCATATTAATCTTCTCTCCAACAGTGTTCGAAAGTTAATAGTAATTTTCAAAACTTTACGTCATATAGCCGATTTTGATGTTCTTAGGATGGTATACTTTGCTACCTGTCAAACCGTTCTTCTTTACTGCATTTCATCCTGAGGTGGTGTAGCAAAGACGACTCTAATGAAAGTGGAAGTGGCACAACGAGCGGTTTTGAAAGTGGCGTCATTCCGACCATTCCTTTTTCCGACTCGAGAACTTTTCCGAGATTGGCAAGTTCTATCCGTACGACAACTTTTTTTCTGTACACCATCCTGAGGGTACATTCGCAGACATCTTACGATCGATCTCGGATAGTTGACCTTCGACGCCATGATCGTGTGTGCCGTTATTCGGCGTGGTCCACATCCTTTGCCCAACACTTCTTCGGCTTCCTCGGGCCCTTCTTATATAACGGATTGCGATGGTGATTTACATATTTACCCTTTAAACAAGTTTGAATATTTTTTTGATTTGATTAAGAAACTAAATTTTTGGATTAACGTTCTCTCATAGCAATCATTCGTGTCGCAGTCAATGTTTTATTGATACTTTATCCGTAGGCGGAGGCCTGGAGACCTATAGCACAGGGTATCCTAGTTTAGGCTCCAGCCTTCACAGTCAACAAATGTTTTATTACTTAAGAATGTTTAATTATGGTTGAAATTGTGTGTGAAGGAAATAAATTTATTATTATTATTATTAATTCAAATAAAATTAAAAGAAATAATTATTCAATAAAGCATGAACGCAGAGCCGTTAAAAGTATTATAAAATAATTAAGTGTCCCAATCACTTACAGGAGTTAACGAAAACATTTAATGTTTATTCAAGTAAATATTATTGTTCAAGATGCGCAAATAAATCGAAATTACAGGCACCACTAAAATTTACGTAATATAATTATTTTGAAACAGAATAGCAAAATAGGGAGAAAAAAAAATTCGTTTCTTTGCAAACTCTGCAAACTTTCGTATCTTGTTGCCGCGAGATTCGCTCTGGACCTTTTGGAGGGAAAAGTATCGTTTTTATTTTGACTTTCAATTATTTTGTGAAATCTAGTTTAAAGTGGAATAGGATAGTGCTATTGTGCCTTAATCGAAGATTAAAACGCGAAATTATACGAATCTCGAACTAAAATACCCGTATCGGCCCGTTTTAAGGAATCCCGAGTCAATCCAAACACGCCGCCTCAAATTGCCTATCCTCTTTGTGGCGGCCATATTTACAGTAAAACTTATTTTTGTGTTTTCGGCTGAAGGACTTTGTCTCCATGGCCAGCAATAAATTAAAAAAAAATTGTTGCCGCGAGGCTTAGAGGATGGAAAAAAATAAAAGAAAGGAGCTGCCCTAAGTACAGAATCAACGTGCATATTATCAAAATTTGAAAGTTACAAATGGCGGATTTCTTTAGTGTTGTACCATAATCTATCGATAAGTCATTATCGACATGCAAATGTATGGCTTGAATTTTTGTTTCTTTAGTTTACTGTAACCAAAGTATGCCTAAACAAACACAAGTCTGATAATTTAATCTCGAGTGGTATATTATTATAAATGTCAACACACATTTTTAAAGTTCAAAAAAAATTTATTTTCAACATTACAACTGGTAACTTATTTAGTAAAAGTCACCAAACTGCTGTGCAGTTTGTTGGCGACATGCGCATTCTTGCTTAATTATACCTACTTTACTTGTATTTAACATTACGTAGTATTAATTGTACTTACTAAATAAAATATAAAAATTACTTTAAGAGGTACGCCTTTAACCTACATTTTAGTATATATTTACATAACGTCTTTTAACTAACCGTCAAGTACAAGTCTATTCAGGTTTCTGCGGATTCTAGTATTCCCGTTAATTCCCGGGCTTTCTTAAGCAAATGAATCTATCAAGCAATTTTAACACAGAAATAATGGAAGTAGTTGTAAAAATCAATTATCGGAAATCAACAATTATCATGTACTAGCTTTTCCCCACGACTTCGTCCGCGTACAATTTTTATACAAATGAAAAATATTCAAGTATGAACCAAATCGCACCACGTGTTAAAAAGTTACCATACAAACTTTATTACCCCATTTCGCCGCATTTTTTACCATTTTTATGGTAAAAAATGCGGGACACGAGGGATTCGCTCTGGGCCGTTTGGAGGGAAAAGTGTCGTTTTTATTTTGACTTTCAATTATTTTGTGAAATCTAGTTTAAAGTGGAATAGGATAGTGCTATCGTGCCTTAATCGAAGATTAAAACGCGAAATTATACGAATCTCGAACTAAAATACCCGTATCGGCCCGTTCTAAGGAATCCCGAGTCAATCCAAGCACGCCGCCTCAAATTGCCTATCCTCTTTGTGGCGGCCATATTTACAGAAATATAATTAAACGTTTATGTTTTCGGCTGAAGGACTTTGTTTCCATGGCCAGCAATAAATTAAAAAAAAAAAGAAAAAAAAATTGTTGCCGCGAAATTATTTTTCTGTTTTAGTGAATATTTACATAAAAATATGGGTTAAAACACATTACTTACTTGTGGAATGTGATGTTGGTGTCTATTTTATGTTTGTCTGTTCCATTTTTACACCCATTTACCGCACATTTCGTCATTTTTAGCAAAAAATTTTGGAGCTGTTCGCGGTGCAATTTGACCTTGAGCACTGACAGCCCGCGCGCTCCTGGGAGCCCGTTGGGAAACCTTTAACTTGCCTCACTTAGCGTGTGCGGGCTAGGTTTCTATGTGTTATTATTTTAAGGATAATGCCTTATGTTCTAAAATGTCTGCCGTCTTTCGTAGAATTCTGATGGTACATCCAGTATTATATGCAAACAATATCGCTTACGTAATTATTTGCGTTGTAACAGTCATCTTTTGTTGGAGTACAATGCACTTGGAGAACTTGCACAATTGGATATCAAAGGCTTTAACGATGAAGGAAATTATCAGACACTCGCATTTCGAAGGTACTAACTAATACAAACAGAATGTACCTACTCGTAACATTAAAGTTTAAAAAGTCTTCAAAAATGTGTAAGTTCCCGTATGTGCTGTGGCCTATACTCTTTAGAACAGCGGGACGTAAATACTTCGATGATACTTACTGACATACTTTTTTTACATAGGGCGCACTATAAGTTTCCGGAACTGGCCACTTACATAAACAATATTTAAAAAGTAATTACAACATTTGAAAATGAAACTCTTTGGCTGTAGTATACAGTTTCTTTCATCTGACTGTCACTTGTTTTTACATTGTGGCGTCATTTTAGAAATTGGTTGTCTACATCACCATGGATTTAGCACGTGAAAATTTTCATAGTACGATTTTCTATGACTTTAAGTGTAATTTAACAGCTCAGCGGAGCTTCGCTCGGCTTCAAACTGCTTTTGACGATGAAGCACCATGCAAGACGACTATTTTATTTATAGTTGGTTTGCAAAATTCAAACGCGGTCGTGTGAATCTCATGACGAATTTCATGATGGTCGCCTGTTCACTGCTGTGAACAACAAAAACATCCATGTTGTGCGCCGTATGATCAAAACAGACAGGCATGTGAGATACCATGAGATTCGGGCATCTTTAGGCATAGGAATGAGTCAAATACAATCAATACTGTACAAACATTTGGGTGTGAAAAAGCTGTGCTCTCGGTAGTTCCCACACAATTTGACTGAGGCTCAAAAAACGGATCGTGTCACTTGGTGCAATGCCATGCTTATCAGATTGAACAAAAGGGCGTCAAATTTGGTGTGGGACATAGTAACGGGTGATGGAACATGGATTTATAGTTACGATCCTAAAACAAAGCAGCAATCGAGCGCATGGGTCTTTCGAGATGAGCCGAAACCAACCAAAGAGGCGCGCGTGCAAAGTGCCTTTAAGTGGATGATTGCTCCTTTTTTAAATAAAACTGGACACGTGGCTACTGTTGCTTTGGAGAATCGTTGTACCGTGAATAGTGATTGGTACACGACCATTTGTTTACCGGTAGTTATTGACAAACTCCGTAAAAATAACCGTAAACGCCGTAAACGTCATCTTGCACCACGATAATGCCAGACAGACAAATGAATTTTTGAAGGTGAACAACATTGACCATATGAGCTATCTCGCGTACACTCCCGACCTGGCACCTTGTGACGTTTATTTATTACCAAAAATTAAGAACCAGTTACGCGGTCAACGATTTTCATCACCTGAAGAGGCTGTTATAAAAATATGTTTCAAAGATTGTCACGGAGGAGTGGCAAAAATGTTTTCAAAATTGGTTCATTCGTGTGAAAAAGTGCATTAGCGCTAACGGAGAACATTTTGAGAAACAATAAATTCATTTCTGACCATTTATAGTATTTTTTCTTATTCATTCCGGAAACTTATAGTGCGCCTCACGTATATGCCGTTTAAGACTTTTCCACTATCGGAAATGTAACTGCTTGTAGGTACAGTTAACACTTGCATAGGTAAATTAAGGTTCGAAATTATCAAGATATTTTCTTTGATAATTATCCTATACATGCTGCGATAATTTTGTCTCTTTATTTTTTTATTTGAAAATGACAAATAGTTAATTAAATAAGTACGAAGAAAATTTTTGGGAAAACGGTTTGGTTCGCGACATTTTTGAGACAGTTAACACATTTGGGTACATATTTGCGTGTTTGCATTTTGTTGTTCAGTTAATTTTATAAATAACAAGAACATTATCGTGATATTTATCAATGACAACTATCAATAATAATTATGATTTCGCACCCTGAGGTAAACTAACGAAATAAAACAACTGGATAGAGCACAAAACACGTTTTATTGATGAGAGAAATATGATTGTAATACTACAATATGTCTCCAAAACTAACCGTACCTCTTCACAACAGACAGACCGCATCACAATCACAGATATCGAGTGTAAGTGCTGCAAGATAATACTGTCAATTATAAGATTTATGTAGTTTGAAGGCAACTAGCCAGGTCCGCTAACCCATTGACGGTGAAGCTTGTATTTAGGTACGTTTACAATATTAAATAGAGTTTACATTTAAAGTTGGTACAAGTATTCCAAGCAAATTCGAAAATATTACGAACCTCCTGAGGTAAATATTACAGAGGATTAAATCTGAAGTATATATGAAACTAGAGATATTTAGTTCGGCGTCGTAATCGATCCAACAATGAGCACTAAACCTTAATTACAATAGTAACAGGGACTGTAACATTTATCATTTAACACGATAGATTAAAAACAGACTAGAAATGGCGCATTATTTATTTATCGAGTATAGATATGATTTGGGAGCTTGTGCGAGTGTTTCCTTGTCAAGGAATTCCTGAAACAGGTTAAAAGATCCTTTATGGTTTAAATTAGGCTACACTATATTCTTTTAAACGAATAATGAACTTAAATGAATTTTGATGCGTATAAGATTCCAGTGCATGAGTACATGAGTATAAGAAGCTTTGTGAGCCAAGATCAGCACATTCATCTATCCATATATGTATCAAAAGAATAAAACAATATGAAGGTAATGATTAAATCTATCTCAAGGAATGGTAACTAGTTCTAAAAGTAAAAACCTATTTTGCAACATTTAATAAAATACTTATTGTTATACGTGTCTGCATAATTTGATTTCAATACGAGATAGAATAAGACGAGAGAACACGAGATTTGATTCTTTATTACGTTTTCTTCTTTCTACATGCATAGCACTACATATCGCCGCAAAAGTCCCATATTTGTATGTTAACATTATAAATAATTCTCATATTTATATCTACTTATTGAGTGATTTTTAACTTACCAAAATGTAATACCTAATGCACGATCACACTTACATTTAATAAAAAAATAACAACAATAGATCAACAATTTAGCCTACCAGTGTTTCAAGTCTCCTAAACGTTCACCATCCGTGTTTGCTCACACATTAAAAATATCGATGTTAAACTAAATTTTACATCTATAATTGAGAACCTAATAATATTTTTACAATATTTTTTGTTGACTGTTTGAATATTTGGGTGGTATCTAAATTCTAAAATGCATTGAAGTGATGTAGGGCTAGGACTAATGATAAATCGCTGAGTTGCGCTTGCGAAGGCAGTTTAAACAAATGCTCCCGGGGGAGTGCGGGTATCAGCTGTGACGTCTTCTTTGAAATTCCTGAAAACAGGTTGATTAAAATATTAGATACGAAGTCTATGTACCTACACTAGTGTACACAACAATTTACTCATTCTTCTTTAAAAGTTTTGAGAATTGAATTTATCAGAAATCTGGTCTTTTTTTGCTTTTCAAACTATCTAAAATATACTACCTACCTATACATATATTTCGCGTATAAATAAGTGAACATGTTTAGGACTAAATAAGATTTATTTGCACTCCGGTTAATTACATCATAATCTCAATACAAAGTACTAAAAAAACCGACCTCAAATGTTCGTGGAATTACCTACATCTATTTGGCAAGTTTTATTGAAATCGGTTACCGGAAAGTGCACGAAACCAGATTCATCCCCCAGTTTGCCACCCTTAGAGGTGAAATATTTTCTTCGAATTTAAATGGGACAGGTACCCTCTTTCCAACAAAAAAAGAATCATCATAATCGATTCACAAATTTGCAACGAGTTACCGCGTAACATACAAAAATAAAAATAAAAGTCGAATTGAGACCCTCCTCTTTTTTTAATTTAGGGACAGCGCCACTCACAATAATAAGGCTATATCGTTGTTATTGAAACATACAACTAATTTACTATACCTAAGTACCTATTTTTATGTAACATGCATTATTTACACGTGCTGTGGCAATTATGGCAACATAGCAATGTAAAAAGTGTTTTTCTGAAAGTTAGTATATTGGAAATGTGGACGAAAAGTACATGTGCAATGTGCATGTCTAACAAACAACGTAACTACAAAATTAAATACAATATAACTCGCACGGAAGCACTTGAAAGCGATTCTTTTGCTGCTTGCATTTGCCAAAGTCATTT